CAGGAGACGGCAGGACTGGGGCCCTGGGTGGTGCAGGCCCCACGTGACAGGGTCAAGGTGCCATGATCCTGAGGAGGACCCTCCATGCCCACCAGGCTCCCGCTGGCCAGCTCCAGCACAGAGCAGGGTGGAGTAGGCGGAGCCTGGGAGCCAGGAGGGGCCTATGAGGACCTGACCACAGGCCCCTGACCCTCACCCACAGCCCCACCTCAGGGACAGCAGCAGGACCTTCACACAGCCAGGGTGCTCCAGCTCAGAGACTGGCTGACCCCAAGGGTCAGACTGCTGGCCCTGCCCTTCCCAAGGGCACGGTGGCACCTGATCAGGGTGCCAGAGGCGAGTGGGACCTGTGATGCTGACATGGGAGCAGGTTCGGCTGCCACGGGCCCAGCCACGTGAGGCCACCGCCCTCCCCTCGTGGCACCGCAGCCTGTGCCGAGGTTCTCTGGGAAGACAGTCCAAATGGCAGATTAGGGCCATCACAGAGTCACCAAGGCTGGTCCACAAGACACAAGGCCCCCAGGCCTGCAGCAGGCAGGACCAGGCCAGGCCCAGGCGCGCTCTGGTGTCCAGCTCTTCAGGCAGCCCGCTGAGTCCTTGCTGCCTGGCGTGCAAGCTGGGTCCCCGAAGCTGGCGTACTCCTGAAGTGCAGCTGCTCTCTGCTCCCTGTGGCAGGCAGCTCCTGGGGAGGACGCAGGCCCTGGGGAGCTCACCCCTGCGCGCCACAAGGCCCAGGCCTCTGTCCCTGCTGGCCTCCCGCATACCGTCCAGCAGTGCCCCTGCATACCTCACCCATAGGTGGGCGCCTCCCCTCAGGACATGGAAGACAGCAGGTGCTCATGGAGGGTGGCTGGGGCCGTCCAGCCAGGGAGGAGGGGGCCAAGTAGGTGTCAGGACTGGGCCTGGGCAGCAGGAGGGTGGCTGGGGCTGTCCAGCCAGGGAGGAGAGGGCCAAGTAGGTGTCAGGACTAGGCCTGGTCAGCAGGAGGGTGGCTGGGGCCGTCCAGCCAGGGAGGAGGGGGCCAAGTAGGTGTCAGGACTGGGCCTGGTCAGCAGGAGGGTGGCTGGGGCCGTCCAGCCAGGGAGGAGAGGGCCAAGTAGGTGTCAGGACTAGGCCTGGTCAGCAGGAGGGTGGCTGGGGCCGTCCAGCCAGGGAGGAGGGGGCCAAGTAGGTGTCAGGACTAGGCCTGGGCGTCAGGAGGGTGGCTGGGGCCGTCCAGCCAGGGAGGAGAGGGCCAAGTAGGTGTCAGGACTAGGCCTGGTCAGCAGGAGGGTGGCTGGGGCTGTCCAGCCAGGGAGGAGGGGGCCAAGTAGGTGTCAGGACTAGGCCTGGTCAGCAGGAGGGTGGCTGGGGCCGTCCAGCCAGGGAGGAGGGGGCCAAGTAGGTGTCAGGACTGGGCCTGGTCAGCAGGAGGGTGGCTGGGGCCGTCCAGCCAGGGAGGAGAGGGCCAAGTAGGTGTCAGGACTGGGCCTGGGCGTCAGGAGGGTGGCTGGGGCCGTCCAGCCAGGGAGGAGAGGGCCAAGTAGGTGTCAGGACTAGGCCTGGTCAGCAGGAAGGTGGCTGGGGCTGTCCAGCCAGGGAGGAGGGGGCCAAGTAGGTGTCAGGACTAGGCCTGGTCAGCAGGAGGGTGGCTGGGGCCGTCCAGCCAGGGAGGAGAGGGCCAAGTAGGTGTCAGGACTAGGCCTGGTCAGCAGGAGGGTGGCTGGGGCTGTCCAGCCAGGGAGGAGGGGGCCAAGTAGGTGTCAGGACTGGGCCTGGGCGTCAGGAGGGTGGCTGGGGCCGTCCAGCCAGGGAGGAGAGGGCCAAGTAGGTGTCAGGACTAGGCCTGGTCAGCAGGAAGGTGGCTGGGGCTGTCCAGCCAGGGAGGAGAGGGCCAAGTAGGTGTCAGGACTGGGCCTGGGCGTCAGGAGGGTGGCTGGGGCCGTCCAGCCAGGGAGGAGAGGGCCAAGTAGGTGTCAGGACTAGGCCTGGTCAGCAGGAAGGTGGCTGGGGCTGTCCAGCCAGGGAGGAGAGGGCCAAGTAGGTGTCAGGACTAGGCCTGGGCGTCAGGAGGGTGGCTGGGGCCGTCCAGCCAGGGAGGAGAGGGCCAAGTAGGTGTCAGGACTAGGCCTGGTCAGCAGGAGGGTGGCTGGGGCCGTCCAGCCAGGGAGGAGAGGGCCAAGTAGGTGTCAGGACTGGGCCTGGGCGTCAGGAGGGTGGCTGGGGCCGTCCAGCCAGGGAGGAGGGGGCCAAGTAGGTGTCAGGACTAGGCCTGGTCAGCAGGAAGGTGGCTGGGGCTGTCCAGCCAGGGAGGAGGGGGCCAAGTAGGTGTCAGGACTAGGCCTGGGCGTCAGGAGGGTGGCTGGGGCCGTCCAGCCAGGGAGGAGGGGGCCAAGTAGGTGTCAGGACTAGGCCTGGTCAGCAGGAAGGTGGCTGGGGCTGTCCAGCCAGGGAGGAGGGGGCCAAGTAGGTGTCAGGACTAGGCCTGGGCGTCAGGAGGGTGGCTGGGGCTGTCCAGCCAGGGAGGAGGGGGCCAAGTAGGTGTCAGGACTAGGCCTGGTCAGCAGGAGGGTGGCTGGGGCCGTCCAGCCAGGGAGGAGGGGGCCAAGTAGGTGTCAAGACTAGGCCTGGTCAGCAGGAGGGTGGCTGGGGCTGTCCAGCCAGGGAGGAGGGGGCCAAGTAGGTGTCAGGACTAGGCCTGGTCAGCAGGAGGGTGGCTGGGGCCGTCCAGCCAGGGAGGAGGGGCCAAGTAGGTGTCAGGACTAGGCCTGGTCAGCAGGAGGGTGGCTGGGGCCGTCCAGCCAGGGAGGAGGGGGCCAAGTAGGTGTCAGGACTAGGCCTGGTCAGCAGGAGGGTGGCTGGGGCCGTCCAGCCAGGGAGGAGGGGGCCAAGTAGGTGTCAGGACTAGGCCTGGTCAGCAGGAGGGTGGCTGGGGCTGTCCAGCCAGGGAGGAGGGGGCCAAGTAGGTGTCAGGACTAGGCCTGGTCAGCAGGAGGGTGGCTGGGGCCGTCCAGCCAGGGAGGAGGGGGCCAAGTAGGTGTCAGGACTGGGCCTGGTCAGCAGGAGGGTGGCTGGGGCCGTCCAGCCAGGGAGGAGAGGGCCAAGTAGGTGTCAGGACTGGGCCTGGTCAGCAGGAGGGTGGCTGGGGCTGTCCAGCCAGGGAGGAGGGGGCCAAGTAGGTGTCAGGACTAGGCCTGGTCAGCAGGAGGGTGGCTGGGGCTGTCCAGCCAGGGAGGAGGGGGCCAAGTAGGTGTCAGGACTAGGCCTGGTCAGCAGGAGGGTGGCTGGGGCTGTCCAGCCAGGGAGGAGAGGGCCAAGTAGGTGTCAGGACTAGGCCTGGTCAGCAGGAGGGTGGCTGGGGCCGTCCAGCCAGGGAGGAGGGGGCCAAGTAGGTGTCAGGACTAGGCCTGGTCAGCAAGAGGGTGGCTGGGGCCGTCCAGCCAGGGAGGAGAGGGCCAAGTAGGTGTCAGGACTAGGCCTGGTCAGCAGGAGGGTGGCTGGGGCTGTCCAGCCAGGGAGTAGGGGGCCAAGTAGGTGTCAGGACTAGGCCTGGTCAGCAGGAGGGTGGCTGGGGCTGTCCAGCCAGGGAGGAGGGGGCCAAGTAGGTGTCAGGACTAGGCCTGGTCAGCAGGAAGGTGGCTGGGGCTGTCCAGCCAGGGAGGAGGGGGCCAAGTAGGTGTCAGGACTAGGCCTGGTCAGCAGGAGGGTGGCTGGGGCTGTCCAGCCAGGGAGGAGGGGGCCAAGTAGGTGTCAGGACTAGGCCTGGTCAGCAGGAGGGTGGCTGGGGCCGTCCAGCCAGGGAGGAGGGGGCCAAGTAGGTGTCAGGACTGGGCCTGGTCAGCAGGAGGGTGGCTGGGGCCGTCCAGCCAGGGAGGAGAGGGCCAAGTAGGTGTCAGGACTAGGCCTGGTCAGCAGGAGGGTGGCTGGGGCTGTCCAGCCAGGGAGTAGAGGGCCAAGTAGGTGTCAGGACTAGGCCTGGTCAGCAGGAGGGTGGCTGGGGCTGTCCAGCCAGGGAGGAGAGGGCCGGGTAGGTGTCAGGACTGGGCTTGGGCGGCACTGCGAGGCAGGGTGTAACTGGAGGATGGCTACAGCACTGTGCCAAGACCTGGCCAGAGACCTCCTGTGGCCATGCACCTGTTGGGAGCCCACCAACATCTCCTGACAACTGGGTCCCCGCACACACAGCAGTAAACACTGCCATCCTCAGGCCACGGGCATGGCCAGCTCTGGGGCTCAGGAATCAGCCCTGGCAGCAGTGGCCCCCCCCCCCCGGCTCCACTGTCCCGTGACCCCGGGGCTCTCTGAGGCCTGGTGCCACCTCCCACATCAGGACACCCCTCCCTGTAGGCTCCGCCCACAGGCCTCCTCTGTAGGTAGAGGGAGGCTGCACACTCAGGCTCCACCCGGGCCTCATGCACAGCTCGGCTGAGGGCGCTAGGGACACTGTGCGCCGTCGTGGCTGCCGACCAGCACCCTGCCCTGGAAGGAGCCACTCCTCCTGGGCACACGCAGGGCACATGGTCAGGTGCGAGCAAAGGGTTCGGACCCTCCAAACGAAGCATGGACTCCAGGCACCGGAGCTCTCCTGGACTCCGTCACACCCACGCCACAGGCAGGTCCAGGTGGTCCTCGGGGAAGCTGTCCTGTATGCAGAGCCCCAGGACCCCTGAGGTGGAGCCTGGGGGGCCACAGAGAAATGGCAGGAAGGAAGGGAAGGGCCATCACCTACTGCCTCCCCCCAGGGGCCTGCCAGAGCAGGTGTGGCCAGCAGCCCGCTGGGGATCTCTGGGTGGTCCAGGGACAGTCCCCAGGTTTACCCCAGGTGGTAAGTGTGGAGGCTGTTCTCAGTGCACATGTAACTCAGTTCTCTCGACATGTAAGCCATCACTGCTCACAGGTGTGACTCAGAAGCTGACCTGGCATTTCGGCACGTTCGAGAGAATGATCCTTCCCTGGCAAACATGTGTAGTGATCAGGGTTAGTGTGACTGAGTGTGGCGGAAAACCCAAAATCACAGTGGCTTACACAAGCTGGAAATGTATTTTCGTATCTCATGGAGGAAAAGGCAGTCTGAGGCAGTCACCCTGAGGACACGTGGCACTCGCCACCCCAGAAGCCTAGAGCCATCCTCTCTTATCTTTCCAACTCTGAGCAGGTGGCTTCCTCCTTATAGCCCAAAGCAGCTGCTGGCACTCTCACCATCAGGTTTGCATTCCAACCAGCAATCAGGGGACAGAATTGAAGACGAGCATGTAACTCCCCTGAGAAACACCTCCCAGGAACAATGTACAGCTCTCTCACTACGGGTCCTGCTAAAAGAGGGGTGGCAATTGAACTCTGCTCTAAGTGTTCTTGTCACTGGAAAAGCCCAGAAGTTCCGAGGAGGAGAAGCACACAGGCCTGAGTGATGGATAATCACCTCCTTCCCAGAGCAGCTTCCGGGGGCCTCGGGCGCTGCCTTGCCCAGCATCTCTGGAGTGTGGCTTGCCCTTGACCTTCGCCCACCAGGGGGCCTCAAGCACATTGGTCCACACGGTCCTTGCTCTGGCCAAGGTGAAAAGGTCCTGCCCCTGGGAGGCCACAGAGCACCTGCCATCTGTTTCCTCATGCTCTGCCCAAGTGCTGGGGTGCAGAGGTCCCTGGGCAGGCACGAGGCTTCCAGCGCCACCCTCGACACTGGCCTGCCCACTATGGACACGGGGCCAGGCACCTGCTGGTCCCTCATCCCTTCCGGGGGGAAGCAGCCTCCATTGACCGCTGGGCAGGAGGCCCAGTCACGGCGGGTCCAGATCTCCTGCCCAGCGGTGCTCCCAGGGCCAGCGTGGCACATAGTAATCCACTAGGAGTCCCCGGCCCCGGGCACAGGCCGTACCCCTGCACCACAGGCAGGATGTAAGTGAGCTGTTCTTAATGTCCCAAACGGACCTGCCAATCAAGTCCCAATGATGAAGGCAAAGCTGCTCGAGGGGCCACTGGCTGTGAGCTGGCACACCTAGGTGGCTGCTGGCCAGGGAGCTTCCACCTCAGGGTGTCCCAGGAGGTGACACTCAGGCCCCACCAAGGACAGCTGATGCTTCCTTTCCATGGGGCTGAGGCACAGGCTCCTCCCCGCGCCCCGATCCAGGACACCCCTGCAGGGGGAGGAGGACGAAGCCCCTCATGCTAGCCTCTGCCCTGGGGCCCCGGGCTGGTGAGGAAGCCCAGGCTCAGAGCGGCTGTGTTGCCCGGTCCCTGACCCTGCAAGGCCCAGGGCTGCTTAGGGTGAGTGAATTACTTCAGCCTCTTCATCTGGGAAAAGCTCCGTGGGCTCAAAACATACATCTCAGGACATCCAGGCCCCAGATGGCTATGTGGACTGGACACCAAGGCTTTTCAAATCCCACAGAGTGCAATCCTCAGTCATCCCCACCTGGCCTCTGCACCCGGTGCTCCAACCAGCAGCTCAGAGACCCCAGAGGCTGAAGGCACCAGGATTCCAAGAGTCTAGTTCTAAGTGAGGTCCCATGTCCAGAATGAGCAACGGGCAGCGCTGGAGCCCACAGGTGGTTAGCAATCCCGCCACCTAGGGCAGCTTCTCAGCTCCCAGCTCAGGCACCTGATGCTCTCTGTCAAGTCCCAGGCTGCTTCTCGGCCGGAACCCTGGTCTGAGGTCAGGGTATCTTGATGCTGGACACTACATCGTCTTGTAAACATCAGTTAGGAGTTCTCACACTTACTCTGCTAGTAATTACTTTGCCAGGCTTCAATATTTTAGGTATTTTTGAGTTTTTAAGTTTTTTAAGTTTTTTCTTATGTAGTTTAGGTAAATATCAGCTCTATTTGCAAACCATGTGGATTATCGATAGAAGTTTGAATCGAGGGCTGATGGGGAATAGATGGATAAGTCAGTAGAAGCGTGCTAGATGGATGTACCCATGGATGGATAGACAGATGATTGTGGATGGATAGATGGATGGATGGATGATGAATGATGAATGATGGAGGATATATTAGTAAATGAATGGACACCTGGAAGAATGGTAGATGAATAGATGAATGAGTGGGTGGATGGATAAATGGATGGATGCAGAATGTGAATGATGGATAGTAAGTGAATGGACATATGGATAGAAGGACAGACATATAGATGGACAGGAGGATGATGAATGGTTGGAAGAGTGGATGGATAGATAAGTGGGAGGATGGTTTATGAATGTTGAACAAGTGGGTGTATGGGTAAGTGGATAGTTGAATGGGTGGATGGGGGGGGTTGATGGATGGATGGGTATAGCAAGTAATGGATAATGGATGGAGAGATGATGGATAGTGGGTGGAGAGGTGATGGATGGATGGATGGATGGATGGATGGATGGATGGATGATAGATAATGGATGCAGAGATGATGGATAGTGGGTGGAGAGGTGATGGATGGATGGATGGATGGATGATAGATAATGGATGGAGAGATGATGGATAGTGGGTGGAGAGGTGATGGATGGATGGATGGATGGATGATAGATAATGGATGGAGAGATGATTGATGGATGGATGAATGGATAGATGGATGCTAGATAATGGATGGATGGATGGATGGATGATGGATAATGGATAGAGAGGTGATGGATGGATGGATAGATGGATGATAGATAATGAATGGAGAGATGATGGATAGATGGATGGATGGATGGATGGATGGATGGATGGGTAATGGATGGAGAGATGATGATGGATGATGGATGGGTAGATGGATGATGGATAATGTATTGAGAGATGATGGATGGATGGATAGATGGATGGATGGATGGATGTTGCATAATGGATAGATAGATGATGAATGGATGAAGGGTGGAGGGATGGATGATGGATAATGGATGGAGAGATGATGGATGGATGATGGATAATAGAAGGAGAGATGATGGATGGATGATGGATAATGAATGGAGAGCTGATGGATGGATGGATGGATGGATGATTGATGGATGGATGATGGATGGATGATGGATGAATGATGGATGGGTGGTTTTCTAACTCAGATCCCTCCCCCTCAATTAAGTCTGTCACAGTTGTCTTCACTTAACCTCTGTCCTTGTTCTCTGTGACTTTAACAACCAACTGGTTCCCTGGCCTCTGGATTCCTTGTTCCCTTCCTGGCCTCCTCTCAGTTCTCTGGCCTCCAAACCTGGACAGACTCGTAGCTTCCGCCCACCTCAGGACCGCTCCTCCTGCCAGCATGCCCACCACGACCACCGACTTCTATGGATGAGGCAGTGCCTTCTTGCTCCTGCTGGCTAACCAGGACTCCCCAGCCACACCTGAGAGCTGTCGCCACTTCTTCTCAGGGTCAACCCTGCTGGGCACAGCTCACCTCCTACTTCTCTGGCTGCCGTTTCTCAGTCAGCAGCAGCAGGTATCCCAGGATCTCTGAATGTGGGCACTCCACTTCTCAGACTGTCCCTGATGGCCCCGTGCATGCCTGTCACTCCAAGGCCACCTGGGTTGGGGGCCCCGTAAGTGGGAGCACCACCTAGAGAGTGTGCTTCCTCCTGGACGGCACTTCAGCCCCACTCAGGGGTTCAGCCTCATGGCAAACCAAGCTCTGCTTTTGGTCTTTCTTATTTATTTATTGGTACCAGGATCAAACCCAGGAGCACTTACCCACTGAACCACATCCCCAGCCCCTTGTATTTACTTATTTATTTTTAAATTTTGAGGCGGTTGCACTAATTTGCTTAGGGACTTGCTAAGTTGCTGAGGCCAGCTTTGAATTTCCCATCTTCCTGCCTCAGTGGAGCCACTGGGACTACAGGCGTGGCCACTCTGCCCGTGGACCGAGGGCTTCGCTCTTGTGCGGACTCGCTGCAGTGCCAGCTGTCACAGAGCAGCGTTCTGTTCAAGCCACCCTCACCCTCTGCTCAGGTGGGGAGCATCATCCCTCTGCCCGCCAGCACCTGGCCCTGTCCTGCCAGCCTCTTGGCCTGTGCGAGCTGTCCGTCTCTCCGGCCTGGCTGGCCTGGCCTGCTGCAGTGCTGCGAGACTCCCTGGACCACATGGCCACACCCGGGCGCGCCCACTTAGCAAGTGTTCTCTCTCCTCCATTCTCAGCCCACAGGCAGAGTGAGCCCAGGTCCCGTGTCCCCATGTGGGACCTCAGCCTTCCTCTGTACCTGGCCTCTCACAACATCTCAGGTTGGACGACCCCACCCCATGGTCCTCCTCGTGGCCGTGGGGACCTCAGAAGCTCAGAAGCTCAACCTCCACTCAGCCCCCATGTCCTGGCCCTGAGTCGGGTGTGAGAGTGGGTTGCTGCGTGTGCCGTGTACATGCGTGTGCCGGGTACATCTGTGTGCTGTGTACATGTGTGTGCCTAGTGGTGGGTGGGCAGGTGATGGGTGCTGCAGAGGGGAGCCCATCTGTGTGGGAGACAGTGGGGACACCCACCTCTGTCGCCCTCTGCCTGTGCAGGACATGCCTGGAGACATGGGCACTGCCAGGAGGGAGCCGGAAGGGCATGTCCAAGCCTGTAGGGGACTCCTTGCCTCCTCTCTCTGCACACAGACCCGGCTGAAGTTCAGAGCTGTCCTCAGGGGCCATGGCCAAGTGTCCCAGTGGAGGCAGGACACATGCCCCGGCTCTGCCTAGGAGGAAGGGGTGCAGGAGCCTACGGCGCCCACAGCCACTGCGACCATGCCCAGCCCAGGCCAGCCCACTGCAGCACGGTGGACGCCGTGCCTGGGAGGGTGGGATGGTGTGGCTCCAGTGGGCGCTGGGGCAGGGCCCCTCATCTCGGGGTGCAGGCACACGAGCTCACCTGGCACAGGGCACACAACCTGCTGAGGGCCACGTGGCCTTGTGTGGCGCCAGGGAGCCCAGGCTCTCTGTGAGTGAGAGTGGGTGAGAAGGTGGTTTCACCAGTCACTGATCCCCACCCAGCAGGTCCCCGAGGCCTCACCTGGTAAATGCCAGGTTGAACTCTGCACCTGTTTCAGTCAGTGATTTCAGTCCTGTGACTAGGGACCCGACCAGAACCACCGTGACGGAGGAAAGATTTGTTTGAAGGCTCGCGGGTTTCAGAGGTCTTCGTCCATCGACGGCCGGCTCCATTCCTGGGGTCAAGGTGAGGGCAGGACATCGTGGCAGAGGAGTGTGGCGGAGGGAAGCAGCTCACAGGGTGATCAGGGGAGACTCCACTCTCCAGATTCAAAATACAGGATGGACAGATGATGAGTGTCAGACTCGTAGCTTCAGCCACCTCAGGAGGGCTCCTCCTGCCAGCATGCCCACCCCAAGCCAAGCCCGACGCCACCTCCCCCGCCCCCGCCAGCCTCCTGCTGCCACCCGTTAACCCCATCAGGGGACCACTCACAGACTGGGTCAGGCTCCACAGCCCGACGGCTCCTCCTCTGAGCCTCTTGCACCGTCTCACAGGAGCTTTGGGGGACCCCTCCCATCCAAACCATAACAGCACCCCTAAACCCTCACCAGGCCTGTGGGCTCCAGTGGCCTCGCAGTGGCCACGTTCAACCCCGCCAGGGACGTGAGCAGGGGCCGCTCCTGCCTCCTCCGCACAAGCTCCTCCCGCGCGGCCCAGGCTGGCGCCGTCTTTCTCTTCCTGAAGTCACCTCCCTGAGAGGCCCCCAGAGCTGGCCCTCGCCCCGGCTCCCCCCGGACTGTAGCCCTCCCGTCCCCACAGTTGCAGAGCCTCGTCTCTGTGGCCTGAACATAGTCTGTTAGGCCTGGGGAAGGGCTTGTGCACACACCACCCATGTCCGTACCACACGCAGGTACACCACTCCTGTGCACAAGCACCGCACATGAACGAGCCACAGGCCACACGTGGCTCGCACGTGGCACACGTGTGCACATGACGCCCCACGGGGCCTCCCTCGTTCACGGCCTTCTCGGGCTGCCTCCTCTCACTCACATACGTGTGAAAGGGTGTGCTCCCAATGCACACAGCTGTGTGTGAGAGGGTGTGCTCCCAGGTGCACACACCTGTGATAGGGTGTGCTCCCAATGCACACACCTGTGTGTGAGAGGGTGTGCTCCCAGGTGCACACACCTGTGATAGGGTGTGCTCCCAGTGCACACACCTGTGTGTGAGAGGGTGTGCTCCCAGGTGCACACACTTGGGGGGCAAGAGGGCGTGCTCCCAGTGCACAAGTGGAGGTCTGGTGAGAAAGCAAGGCCTCAGCCTCTGCCACGAGACTCCCTGGTGGGAAGCCCCAGCAGGACTGTCTACACTAGTGACAGGTGCAGCCATGTGACATGCGTGAGAACCTGCTCAGGACCCGTTGTGCTTTGGGACACATGTGCCGACCCTGCTCTGGCAATGTCCTCCTAAGCACACTGGTCAACTCGCAGCCACCAGGGTCGGGTGGAGCTGCTGAAGGTCACGGCATCCCCTACAGACAGAGCCCAGCCCACACCTGCTTCCCTCGAGCTGCCCCGGTCAGGGAGAGGGAGATCAGCAGCACCAGTGTGAGAAGGCCACCACTGAAGCCACCGAGAACTCAGCAGTCACCACCAGCGAGCCCTCAGGTCCCGTGGAGCACAGCCCCGCACGCTGGGAGAGCTTGCTGTCCCTCGGGGCAGGTGCTGACTCCCGCCCGACACTGCCCAGGGAAAGGCCAGGCTGACGTGGGCCAGATGTGCAGCCAGTTCAGAAGGGCAGGAGGATAATGGAAGCCGCCTGTGCTGTGGTGCTGGACCTGTCACCGCGGGCTCATTCGGCTTCCGAGTTCTCGGTGACGCCCTCCTCTGGGGCACGTGACTCCTCGGGGCAGGGGGAGCAGCCCCCCGCCTCTGTCCTCACTGGCCCTGCCCACTTCCCTTCACGGCACCCCTTCCCAGGTCCTCCCTAGTTGGCCCTCCCTGTGGCTCCGCCTGCCACTGTCCTTGGGCCCCGGCTCACTGAGGGGTGGCCAGGTCACCTTCACAGGAACACATCCACTCTACGGCCATAAAGCCCTGGGGAACTGGGGGGGCAGGGCAGGGCAGGGCAGGAAGGGTCAGAAGGCAGCTTCCTCCCACCTGGGCTTGGCTGAGCCAGGCCTCTTGGTCCTGTCGTCCCGGGGAGGGCTGGCCTGCAGGACCCAGGACTGGGGGGTCTCGTGCGCTCTGTAGCTGTGTCCAGGACAAGCAGCCCCACCGGACGGTGAGGAGCAGACTAGCGAGGCCGAGTGTGGCAGTGACTCTCAAAGCAGGCTCCTTGGCCAGTAGCCTGAGCCACCTGGCCCTGCCCCGGCCAGTGACTCAGGCGCCTGGGGCAGCAGCCCTTGTCAGAGACTAGAGAAGGTGGAGGTGGCCCTGGAGACAAAGGGGTTCCAAGCTGGCCACTGACCAAGAGCAGCATTGTTCCCGGGCCTCGCATGGCTCTGGGGGCTGCAGCCCAGGTGTCCTGGGGCACTGCCGAGGGTGGCGTGTTTGGGTGCAGGCCTGGGCCTCGCCCACTCCCTGCCGCGGCCACCCCAGGCTGCTCCACTGCAACACATCACGGACCCGTGCAGCCGGGTGCCCAGGACCCTGGCCAGGAGCACGTGTGGAGACCAGCTTTCAGCCGACAGTGAGTGACTGAGGCAGATCACGCAGAGTGTCCCCACGTGCTTCAGTGGCCTCGCGGCCACACCCGGGGGTTCACTAACCAGACATGTGTGGTCACCACACATCAGGACTCAGACCAGTCCCTGCTCCGTAGACCCAGTCTCCTCTGGCCGCTCACCTGTAAGGCAGTCAGAGCAGACGCAGAACTGCCTGGGACTGAGAACGGCAAGAGGAAGGCCCTGGGGTGGCAGCCTCCACGTGGTGACTCCTGGCTCCGTGTCCCCTCAGAGCCCAGCAGCAGCCTGACTTCTACCTGGAGTGTCCGTCCCCTGTGCCTGAGTAACACCCTTGCCACCTCTGCCCCCACAGAGCCCTTTCCCACCTCGGTCTTCTGATGCCAACAGGTGACTCAGAATGACCGTCACCGTCCCTGGTCACTGAGCTCAGCGGTGAGCCAGTCTGGTCTCTGGTGAGAGTCTGTAAGCTGGGGGTCTCCTGAGGAGCGGGCTCGGGTCTTCCCACGAGGGGAGATGTGAGAGGCAGCCGAGGTCGGGGGCGGCCCGGACCCCAGAGGAGGAGCACACCCCTGAGGGCACAGCCTGAGCGCTCCCTTCGCACACCAGGTCACGGGCTGGTGTGAGGGCAGGCGGTCCCAGAGCACCGGGGACGCTCCTGAGTGCCCGTCCAGGCGGGGACGCCGAGAGCCAGGCCTCTGAAAGCCCACAGAGCAGTCGGAGGGGAGCACCCTGGAGGGACCGGTCGCCTGGCCCCGCCCCACGATGGCAGTGTCACCGTCTCAGACCCTCCCTTTTCCAGCGTGTTTCAACCTCCTTTCTTACGAGTGGGGTCTGCGGGTGTGAGCTCTGGGTTTTAGAATGCAGTGACGCGGTTCCCCGCGCCGGGGCCTTTCTCCTGGAAGACTGCATGCGCCGTTGCCTGGGCCTGAGCCACCCACGTGGCCACGTGGCCACCGCTGGCCTCTGATTCTGCTTCTCCACTCTGGGCCTTTCCCCCTTCAGCCTTTGCTGTCTCTCAGCCACAGCCGGCTCCGGGACGCGGGCCACAGGAGCCAGGCATGCCTGGGCTGGGCACTGCCCTCTCTGGACAGCAAGATGGCCACTTGGCTTTTGGTTGGGGTGGTGTCCTTATGTGAAGTTTCAGGCCAGTGCCCGACACATGGCAGACGCCCTGCAGGGGTGAGTGGGATGGCCAGTGGGCGGGTGGTGCTGCCTGTGGGTGCAGCTCTCCTGCAGTGCCCACCTGCAGCAGTGCCCACCTGCAGCAGCCCCTCTGCTTGCTGCCGTCATGGGCTGATCCCGGCACCCTCAGTCAGATCACCCCCTCTTAACGTCACGGAGGTTTGTTCAGAGGCCTGTGGTCTAGTGAGATCATGAGGGGTGGGACGGGGCAGGAGTCTGCTGCCTCTGAGGCAGACGCGGACGTCCTGGGTGGGGGCTGGGACTGCACACCCAGTGCCAGTTCTTAGCACAAGGAGCGGGCAGCGGGGCCTGGTCCCCTCCACGAGCTCGTCTCCCTTCCCGGCCCCACCTCCCGTCTGCACTGGCCACTCTGGTGAAATCGCAGGCCTCGTCTCTGAAGCTCAGTGTGAATGTGAGCTGGCCGTGCCCGCTGGCCATGGGTGGCGTGGCAGGGCAAGGGCCCGCCCAGGAGGCCATGGCCCTCACAGGTGTTCTCTAAGAACCACTGTGGGCTTAGGCAGCAGGCCTGGGGCCCTTGGCAGGGACCCACGGCACTTCTGCACGATCCCTTGGGCGACTGGCCCCCAAGGCCAGCTCTGTGCAGAACCAAGGCCAGGGCCCAGGGCGCCCCATGGATCAGCTAGGTCCGCTTCCCCGCTGCCGAGGTGGGCCAGGGCTCTGGCTCTTTTCTTGGCCAGGATGTGCTCTGACCCCAGGGTTTGTTGATCCCCTGACCCGAGCGCCCTCTCCCCCAGCCTCCCTCTCCTGTTCCGGAAGAGTGGGCTCTTCCGATGAGCACCCGTGAACAAGAGCCCGTGTGATTTCCTGACACAAAGAGGACTCACGCAGGGGCTCCACACAGCAGATGTCCCTGGTCTGACCGTGCTGGGCCTGGCCCTTCCTTGGCTTGAAGACATACTACTTCAGTTTCTGCCTCCATGGCCGCGTGACTCCCCTGTGTGTCTGTGTCTCTCTTGAGGACACAGGACACCTTGGTTAGGGCCGACTGTACTGCCCTCATCTCTACAAACTACACCAGCAGATCTGCTTACTTCCAAGTAAGGCCACCCTCCCAGGCACCAGGCGCTGGGACCTGGACACCATCCACCACCCAGAGCCCTGGAGGTCCCACTCCAGCCAGGCAGGCACTTGCTAGTTCCGGGGCGTGGGCTCAGCCAGGGCTCCTGCTGAACCTGCCCACAGCCCCTCGAGGCAGAGTCCCAACTGCCAGGATTCTCTAGGCCCCTGGCTTCCTGCCACATGCTCCTCTTCAAATGGATTCACTTTTGAAACCATTTTTCTCATCTTAAGTAGCAAAACCCTGAAACCATGTTTCTGGTGTGTTATTGTGTTTTAACTGATGCACATTGAAAATAAGCCTGTATTTTTAAGTCATCCACCTTCCATCTAAAGCCAAGGTACAGACTCCACTTTGGAAAACGCTGTTGAT